GCGGAGAAGGAATAGTATGTCCGAGGCCACAGCGGGGTCTCTCGACGAGGCGGAAGATGAGCGATTGGTCTTTCATGCTTTGATTCGAGACTACAAGAACCCGGACTTGACCCTCCACGCCGCTTTGTCCTTGGCGCAGAGAGTTAGGTAGCCTGAGCGCGTGTCGGGTGTCGTGAGGGGCACGATGATGAGCACGATGGCGAGTAACCCCTCTGCGCCCGATCCCCTGTCCCGTCGGTCCTCTGCTGTCTTTGCGCCAGCGTCGCGGTGGCGTTAATGCCAGGGAGTAGTTGGGCGCATTAACTGGATGTGACGTTTTGTCAGAGGAGTCGGTCGGGACAGAGGTGACGAGGTTGTTGCCGAGCCCAGCCTCGGGCGAATCGGAGATTTTTTTTTCGGGGCCTCGGTGAGAGCGCCTCGGCGGGGCGGAGAGTTTTGGCCTTTCGTCTGAGGCCTCGGCGCAAGCCTCGGGCGAATCGAAGAATCTGCCGAGACCTCGTGATTGTCCTTTGGCTTTGATTTTTGCAAGACTTAAGCAATATTTTTGGTTCTTGCTTAGGGTACCTCTTCTTGTGGTATCCGACACAAGACTTCCTCCAGCTACGACAAGACGCACAGGAACTACAAAATATGCCCAGGGGCTGCTCTACTTCACAAACTACCATATTCATGACTACGAAGGTTTCAACAAAATGTTCAATGGATGAAAACAAGCACTCTGGGAGGGTATTTATAGATCGAAGGAGTGACGCACATGGACTAGGAGTACCAACGAAACAAGCCTTACAAAGGACATAGTGAAAAGATAGGACTCAATAATGGAAGACTCAGGCGAGAAGGAATAGTACTCGAAGACGAGCATATTCGGAAGAATATGCCAACACTGTACAACCCGTGAACAGGCAACATTTACACTCAACCACCACCATACAACTACACCTGACAAACAGCAGACTACCAGAGAATACGTTAAGAAGAATGCAACCGAGTTCTTTTTGAATCAAAGAACCCGGATAAATACTCAGAGGCTACAACAAGGGAAGATTTCAGTTCCTCAAACAAATCAGACTCAAGACCCTTCAACTCTTTGTTCCAAACAGCAAGAGGCTCGGGAGCTACACTCAGTGAGTGCACTTTTTCTTCAAAAAAGCGCACATCACTCGAAAGACTTCTTCAAGACAGCAATTTTAAAACAACATAAGATTCAAGACCCTCCAGCTCCTTGTTCCAAATAGCAAGAGGCTCGGGGGCTACACTCAGTGAGTGCACTTTTTTCTTCGAAAAAGCACACGTGACCAAGAAGACTTCTTCAAAACAAAACTACTTCAAGGAGTCATGACAAAAAGAAGCCAGACCGAGCTATATCCGAGTTCTTTTTTATAAAGAACCCGGATACATGCTCGGGAACATTTCAACGAAGGATCAAAGTGATTTCAAAACAAGACCCTCCCGCTCCTTGTACTAAATAGCAAGAGGCTCGGGGGCTACACCCAAAGGGGAGTACTTTTTTCTTCAAAAAGGTACACCCCACGCGAAGATCTCACAGAGCGCTACACGGTTTCGCTCAAGAAAGCACTCGGACGATGCTTATTCCTGCTCGGCAAGGCTTGAAAGAACAAGACGAGACTTCCAGAGCTCAACTATGAAGTGCTCGGGGGCTTGTCGATGCGGGACCCACAGGATACCCTGCAAGGAAGAGAGAAGATCTAGTCTAACTAGAATTCTCCCTATGTAATCTGAGTAGTAGTATTATCCTGTAATCCTACTAGGAACTCTCATTGTAAACCGACTAGGATTCTGACCTCCTGACTATATAAAGGAGGACAGAGTTCCTAGAGACGGAGGAAGACGATTTCTACAACACAACAACACACAATCAATACAACGTAAGGGCTAACGCCGACTGGACGTAGGGCTATTACTCGACCACAGTCGAGGGCCTGAACCAGGATAAATCGACTGTCTCTTGCGTTTACCATCGAGTTCCGCATAAGCCGAAGCCCGAACATACTGCCCCGGGTACCCCCGTGACAGGCTATCGGTGGTCAAACATCAACAATAAGTCATTTTTATGTTTGGTTGGATGGATGAACGTGGATGGGATGAGAATAATTGGCTAATTATATCTATTATTTAAAAATAATAATAAACACTAATACTAATTTTATCATAATAATCACTAATTAAAAATAAAAAATATCAATTAGCACCACTAATATCCTAATTAGCACACGAAACATGCACTAATTAATATATTAGCACTTATCAAAATTAATTCTACCATCATAATTACTAAGTAATAATATAACATATTTATAATCCTTAATTTATTTAGTAATGACAAATATTAGAAGACATGGATAAGCTTGTCAACAGATTTTTATGGGTGAGTTTATCCAACATCTATGACGAATATTCTCCTATGGTGGATATGTCTGTCCAAGTGGTCCGCAAATCAAACGCCGCTAATCCATGGACGACCAGGGATATCCACGGTACCAAACGCACCCCAAAAGTCTTTTAAACTGAGATCCCAATACTGTTGTTTGTGTGGGTCCGATCGAGATCTCCTTGTCTTGGTGTAGCACATACCAGCGGCTTCCTGCAACGGTGAAGTTCAGAGATCAGAGGATGTCACGTATCCGTCGTCACGCTCGTGCCGCTGGGGAACCGGCTCCCATTTGCAGCTGGACTAGCGTGAGTTCACAGCGTGGACTTCGAGCATCTAAAGAGTATCCATTTTTTTTTCTAAAAATATAGAGTTTTATAACTCTAAAAAATATTAGAAAAAATAAAAAAAGTTATCTCTAAGAGTTTTTAATAATCCACTCCTAAAATATAGAAGACAATTTTAAATCAGAAATCCTATACTATTTCTAAATTATCCTAACCATTTTTATATATTCTTTCTCTATCGTAGACTTGCATCAGAACCCTTTCTTACACTTTATTTTTTTCACACCCTTCTACCTTTAGATTGGCCGACAAATACGCGCGGGGAGAGAAGATACGCGTGACTCGGAAGCGCGTAATTTTACGCGGAACAGGGTGACTTTTTTCAAGTTCTAAAAGATTAGGATGATGGATTATGAGTTGTTGGATAGGAGTTTTTCCTTATCTTGCTAAAAAATAAAAATTAGAAAGGGATTTATGGAGTAGGAGATGCTCATGCTGGATTAGCTCATACGCAAGTCAACTGCGAAATAAATAATACTACTGCTGCTGCCGCCGAAATGCTCTGATGCTGGACGAGCATTTCTGAACGGGCAGGCCGTGCATTAGATATTCCACTTGGGGATCCCAAATTCGTTGGGATAAATCGATCGCTCTCATGCATCCCGTTATGGAGGCAGAGGCACGGACGCTTCCAGCTTTGGAAAAAAATCCTCCGTGCCATCGCAGAAGTCGCCGTCGCCAGTTCAGCGCTAACAGTTGTTGATTGGACGGTGGAGGTACGCTGACGAGCGCTACCGGCTTACAGCCTATCGATCCCTGTAATCACACGCCACGACCCACCTCACCTAGCAAAATTATGCCCCTGCAATCATGTAGATTATTATTTGTGGTAGATGATCATCTGAGATCCCGGATCCCATTTCCCATGATCTAGGCGCTGCCGACTGCGTCGTCGGATAACCGTACATTAGCAACGTCATTAGCAAGCAGCTGGCATTCGTCGATTGATGCAACCGTGGCAACTACTACGAGTATGCTCGAGGTAACCAGTCGCTCGCTGCTTGCTGCGCGTTCAAGGCTATTGCAGTACAGGACAGCCTAATTAGTTTTAGACACAATTCTCTCTGTGTCATTAAAAAAGATCGCAATGCCCTATGTGTCTCTGGAAAAGTTCAGCGGTTTTTGGCGTCACTACTCCAACTTTTTCGTGTCCTTCATGCCACTTCCGTCAGTTTAGACTCTAACGCCGTCAAATTGCAGGTGTGAAAAGACAAAAATACCCTTAAATCTAAATATGTTATTAAATTTTTTTGAGCATCTTAACGACTTCAAATGAAAAAACTCAAAACTTAGAAAGTTATAGATCTCGTCGAGATCTATAATTTTCATATAAAAATAATTTTTATTTAATTCCGCAAAAAAATATGATTTGATATGATTAATATATCTTGAAAAAATCATATTTTTTTGCGGAATTAAATAAAAATAATTTTTATATTAAAATTATAGATCTCAACGAGATCTACCACTTTCTAATTTTGATTTTTTTATTTGAAGTTATTAAGATGCTCAAAAAAATTTAATAATATATTTAGACTTAAGGGTATTTTCGTCTTTTCACACCTGCAGTTTGATGGTGTTAGAGTCCAAACTGACGGAAGTGGCATGGAGGACACGAAAAAGTTAAAACAGTGACGTTAAAGACGGCTAAACTTTTCCAAAAACACCCAGGACATTGCCATATTTTTTTTAATGGCACCCATGGAATTCTCGTTAGTTTTTTACTCTCTGGCCCGCCGTGCAACGTCACTTATGGGTGCTGCGTTTGTACGGTACATGTAGTACGCCGAAAGCACAGCGCGACCTCGCTCGCGGTCACAGAGAGGATCCTCCCCAAGGACCCCACGGACCGCCGCGGCCGTTCTCCTGTCGGTGCTCCACGCCTCACCACTCGCCACGCTCACCTCGCCCCACCCGCTCCCCTCACTGCCAGTTGCGGCCCACCGCACCAATCATGGCCGCACGGGTCCGCAGACAGCGACCCAAAACTTCCTTCTCAATCCTCCGGTGACCGTGCACCCAACATTTCCTTATTATTACTGCTGCGCTGTGCGCTCCCACCCCCGACTCCGCCACACACACCGCACCAACCAACCAACCCACGAGCCCATCCGCCGCGCGGCGAGCAGCGCACGAGCTGCTGCTGCAGGAACCGAAGCTGCCGAAACGCGGTGGCGCGGCAGCGGCGGGAGGCCTCGGAAACGCGGAGGAATACACGAGGTCACTTTCCCGGCGAATGCGTTAGGAGACGAGGCGCGGCGGAGATGGGGAAGTACACGCGGGGGTGCTGCGGCTGGCTCATCGTGGCGCTGATTGTGGCGCTGGTAGCCACGGCGGCGATGTTCGCCATCATGAAGCGCAAGCCCGGGGGACGCCACATCAAGCCGCTCCCGGTGCCGGGCCCGCCGGGGGCCATCGACTCCAAGTACGGCGACGCGCTCGGGGTCGCGCTCCAGTTCTTCCAGGTCCAGAAGGGTGAGTACTGAGTAGCTGGCTCAACTGTTTACTTTATAGCCAATGCAATGCTTTCCCTTTCGCGAGCTGCCGAGCTGGGTGGTTTGCGCTTCAAATGCCGCGGCGCTTCTCCGGCGGCCTGACGCCCGAGGCCTTGCCGTCGCTGAAGAAGCTTTTTGCATGAGTATTTGGAGGTAGCAAGGCTGGCCGTTGACTCATTTCTAGTGGACTCTCTCTGGTGGACTCCATTTCTGGAATTTCACCAATGATTTCCCGCTATAGGGAAAGTGATGGTCTGGTAGTGGGGAAATTGATGGTCCGGTAGATTTGACTATTCAAGTTACGTTTTCCCTGATGGCTTCGGGTCGGCGAATTCGGATTTCTTTTTACCAAATACTTCGCCCCTTAGTTGGGCAGTCTTGGTATCGTTGGACTGTATGGCCTCCCAAATCTCACTTAAATTTTCCCCTCGGGCTGCCAAATTGGCCGCTCTGATGTATGGGCTGCTCTCTCCTCTTAATTGTGATTACACTTATGGGCCGCTCGTCTTACTGCAAAATTTTGGTTACACTTAGCTGCTGCTTTAACTGAAATCCTGGCCATTTACCTTACTCGGTGCAGCGGGGAAGCTGGAGAACAACCAGATCCCGTGGCGTGGGGACTCGGCGCTGACCGATGGGAAGGAAGCGGGACTGGATCTTTCCAAGGGAATGTATGATGCTGGGGATCATATGAAGTTCACCTTCCCGATGGCATTCACGGCGACGGTGCTCTCGTGGTCGGTGCTGGAGTACGGGGATCAGATGAGCGCTGCAAAGCAACTGGACCCTGCCCTCGATGCACTGAAGTGGATTACAGATTTCCTTATCGCTGCACATCCTTCTGACAATGTGTTGTATATTCAGGTAAGAGTTCCTTACTGTTTCTTTAGAGCACTAGATATTCTTTAAGCATATGATTTAGGAAGTATGAGTTATATTTGATTGAAAACGGATCCCACCCTGTCTGGCATCCTAATGGGGTAATGGTTCTTCAATAGTATGAGTATGTCATCTGCTTAAGTATGGTTATATGGGGACCTGGTGTCATTCAGTGGAAGCAAAAGTTTGGTTGGTTAGGAAGCAAGAACCCAGGTCAGATGTCATGATCTAGACACCTAATAGTTGGTAGGTACTTCGTTGTCTGCTTGATATGCTTAAACAACACATTTGTTGTGATCCTTGGCTATTGATTGGGACTGGGCCAAGTTCATTGTCCCTTTTCCTTGTATTTTGTCATATAGCCTAGATGAAATCTGTGTGCCTTTTTTTTTAGGGGGAGGGGGGAGGGGGGAGGGGGGTTGGCAGTCCTGTACTCTCTACCTATACATGAAGCTGGGATGAAACTGGAGAATGTAAGTTGTAGATCCTTGAGGGCAGGCGCAACGGGTGCTTGTGTGTCCAGGTGTAAGGTGTTAAAATAAAACTCGACCATGGGCTAGATTCCCCCTGGCTTTGTTCAAGAAGTTGCAGCTCTTCAAACTGGGGTCAGGGAAGTTTCAACGTGTCCCAGAGTTGAACCCCGAGAATCTTGGCAGGTGTAATAAGACATTAATGTGTGATACCTGAATCATAATATATAAGAGTCTATTGCGCTCCCCAAATAAAATTTTGGTGTATAATTTGCATTTTTGGAAAAATAGATTCGAGCATCATGGAGTTAGGCTAGTGAATTACTCATTTGTTTTGAGTATTCAGCAATATTTCAATGCATCAGAGACGCAATTTTTGTTTTGTTTAACCATGATAACCACTCTTTGAGAATTGTTACTAGGTTGGTGATCCTGATCTGGACCACAATTGCTGGGAAAGGCCGGAAACAATGACTGAGAAAAGACCTCTCACACAGATTAACAAAAAGTCTCCCGGATCAGATGTTGCTGCTGAGGCAGCAGCAGCTATGGCAGCTGCTTCAATGGTCTTCAAATCCAGAGATACTACATATTCTGATGTGCTTCTTCAACATGCTCAGAAGCTATTTACTTTTGCTGATACTTATAGAGGCCTCTCAAGTGAGAGCTATCCCAAGCTCCAAGATTTCTATAACTCCACCAGTTATGTTGATGAGCTTCTATGGGCAGCAAGTTGGCTTTATCATGCCACAGGCGACCAGACATATCTCAGTTATGTAACTGTACAGAATGGGAAAACTTATGCTGATTGGGGAAGGCCAACATGGTTCAGTTGGGATGACAAAAATCCAGGCACGCAGGTTTGTGTGGACTAAACTGAGTGAATTTGCATGGCAGATTGAGTTACTTATCTTATGTTCATTTCATATCTTTATAATTCTCTCTTCATTCAAGCTCAAGAACTTAAAGTGCACTTTGGTTATTCTGTGCAGGTCCTTTTGTCCAGACTAAATTTCTTTGGCTCCAAACAGATATCTAATGCTGAAAATGAGGGGTTAAAAAGTTATAGAGATACTGCAGAAGCTGTCATTTGTGGTCTGATTCCAGATTCCCCTCAAGCCACTGCTAGCAGAACTGGAGGTATATTGTAGTGCATCTGCCATCTGCTCTTTAATCTGGTGTTACCTGGCGATACAAAGAGGGCACTCACCTTGTTGTGATCGACAAGTTTCCCTTTTGACATGCTCTCTATACTGAGGATTTTATGATTTTGTCAGAAATAGAATCTGTAGAGTATGCATTAGTGATGTTTTCAGTTTATCATACCAGTGCAATCTTCTGTAGGAGGGTTGGTGTGGATCAGTGGGTGGAATTCTCTCAGCATGCCACCAATGCTGCATTCCTAGCTGTTGTGTACAGTGACTACATGCTCTCCACACGGACAGCGGCAGTGCAGTGCAGTGGAAAGTACTACAGCCCCTACCGATATATCATAATTTTGCTGCATCACAGGTGCACTATCTTGAAACCGTAATACAGTATACTAAAATTCTAGATGGTCATGTGTTCATATGACATTGCTGGTTCCTAAGATTTACCAAGCTACACGGTAAATCGAAAGATATTGTGAAGTTTCTGATTCATGTTCTCATGTTGTATTCCAGGCTAATTATATCTTGGGAGACAACCCAATGAAGCTTAGCTATCTTGTTGGATATGGGAGCAGCTATCCACAGCAAGTACATCACAGAGGAGCGTCGATCCCCTCAGATGCGAAAACAGGCTGCAAAGGATTCCAGTATCTCCATTCACCCGATCCAAACCCAAATGTTGCAATGGGTGCTCTGGTGGGTGGGCCATTCCAGAATGACACTTTCGTCGATTCTCGTGACAATGCTGTACAGACGGAGTCCAGCACCTACAACAGTGGCACCCTAGTCGGTCTGCTCTCCGGTCTTGTCACCACTTCCTCTGTTGTACAGTCGTTCACCTAGAGGGCTCCTATGTTTTGGCGGTGCCTACCAACCTGGAGCGATGCATGCAAAATCGCAGTTTTTTGGCGTGGCCGATGGTGATGCACGATCTGTGAGAACAGCTTGGTTGGCCATCGTTCAGATGGATGGCATGCAGCAGTAGTTAGTGCCCACATTTCTTCTGTGTGTACAATGATGGTGCAGCTCCTACAGCTGTCATTTTTCACTGTGTGCTCCTATCTGGTTTGTTGGTGTACCTGTAAGGCTGTAGCTACGAGTAGTAGGACGTATTTCATTTGTTGATTCTGTGGTGAGGTCGTTCAGCAAAGCTTGTACCAATGAATTGTAGCGCCCCTCAACTGAAATGTGCCCTAAACATGTGAATTCATAATTGGGGATGAATGGCACGTATTCGTGCGGTTTTTGCGGCGCTTCACTTCATTCTAAAAAACCCTGGGATAAGATAGGGAAGAGAGACATTTCTGGTAATGGCTCCCAGCTCCCGACGTGATTCCTACTTCCTAGCGTGTGTGTGTGTGTGTGTTTTTGGGGGTTGCTGGTGAAAGGTTGCATGGTCCACGCCTCCACGGTGAAGCGTAACGAGAGGAGTTCCTTCCCTTTTTTTGTCCCAAAGAAAGAAGAAAAGGGATGGATCAGGGGAGCTGGTGGAAATGATGGCCTTTGTTCATGGTCACATGCTAGGTCCAGATGCTAAGATTCCGAGATATCAAATTCTCGAAAGTTTTAAGGCCTTGTTCAGAACTGGACATGAATTCCTGCAGGTAGCACTATTTGTTCAGAAGATGCAATGAAATTCCTGAATTTGAAAAGGTTAGTGCTGTGTTTGGAAATTGGAACGCTCCCTTGTACTGTATCTGTATGCACCTCCGAAATCCCGTCCATTCCAAATGGGTCCAAGCATCGATTACCAAACCAGAACTGAACCTGCATTGGTGGCTCGAGGCCTCGAGCCGCCTTCCGCTGTAACCGCTTTCCGGGAGCCCAATATCTGATTGCGCGAAAGGACGTGGCGGTTGGTTGGCAGTTCAGGAATCCCGCCGGATACAACCGCTCCCATAGCCTGCATGTTTAACCATGCGCCCCTATCGGTTTCAGTTTGTGTTTATCCGGTTATCCCAGTTCTATTAACCCAAGTAGGCTTCCACTAAAGCTATTGCCAGAATCCTTCTCCGGAATCTAATCATCGGTAACATCTTCTGACTGCACGGTGAATTTCATCCTTGTTTGTTTCCCCTTTCAGTAGCTCTGCACGGTAGTTATTTGATTTGCACCAAAGATCGATCGTTTGTGTTTTCCCTCGTCACGATTCTGGTCTGTTCCTAAGCATCCATGATTGCTGATCAATCATTGCCTAGTTTGCACATGCTAATTTACACCACCCGAACGGTAAATCTCTGAACAACATGACGCAGGATCTTGGGCTTCCAATTACTGAAGATGGCCGTATCATTCGTCACTAGACTTCTAACGTAAGCAGTCTTGCGGATTCAGTCCCTTTCTAGATTCACATTGGGCCCTAGGACCCAATCCAATCTCCTATTTCTTGGTCCTGAATTGCAGATTGGCATTAGGATACGCCTATCCGGCGTACGACTGCTACAAGACTCTGGAACTGAACGCGCACGCGCCGCAGATGGAACGGCTGCGGTTCTGGTGCCAGTACTGGTAAGCAAGCAATCAAGCAATCAGATCAGATTAACCCACAAACTCATGTACTGCTCCATGTTAATCTTTTTTTTTCTTTTTCTTTTTTCTTTTTCTTTTTTTGCTCCATGTTAATCTTGTGGTGAACATGACTCTGAACTGTCTGTCATTCACGGCGCGGTGCTGTATAGGATTCTGCTCGCGGTCCTGACTGCTTTCCAGAGCTTCGCCGACTGCGCGCTCTCGTGGCTGCCGATGTACGGCGAGGCGAAGCTCGCGCTCGTCGTCTACCTCTGGCACCCAAAGACAATGGCAAGCCACCATCCGAGACCACACCCTGCTGAACAAGACGTTTTCTTTTTCCTTGCACGTACGTACATTGCAGTCCCATGTGGGCCTGTATGTGCAGTATGTGGCCAAGTCTGAAACCATTTTCCATTTTGTGGTCACCACACCAGGGCGCGAGTCACGTCTACGACGACTACCTCCGTCCGTTCCTGGCGGCGCACGAGAAGGACATCGACCGCGGCCTCGTGGAGCTGAGGGCCAGGGCTGCGGACGCGACGGCGTCGCACCTCCAGGCAGCCGTGGCCCTCGGGCGGGCGTGTCTCTCCGAGGTCGCCCGCCGCGTTTCGTCGCAGCTGCAGGCGACCAGAAGTCATCCGGCCGGGGCCGGGCAGGCACAGTGATCCTGCCGCGCGCGGGCGCGGCGTACAGTGTACGTGTACGTGTAATCCAGACGATTGCAATCAATTGCGTTGCACGAATTCGGAATCTTGTGAGGTCGAGGTCGTGGTTGAATTGGACCACTGACGCTGACTGGAGCGTTTGCATTGGGCCATTGACTGTGGTACTCCTAACTAGCTAGACCTATGGCCCAGTTCGACTTAAATCTGACTTGTTTGGCTTTTTTTTTTTCAACCGGAGCATTGTTTTTCTCTCATAATATTTCAGCAAGAATAGTGTTTTCAGCTACTTCCACTTTCAGACAAGTTTCAGCAAGCCGAACAGGGCCACGTGCAAGGACACTTGCCTTTTTCGCTCGGCTAAAAGCCATGGCTGAAAGTATTGTTGGTTGATTTGTTGTGAGAAAAAAATACTGTTCGTTGGTTGAAAAAATACGGCTTATAAGTCAAGCAAAGAGGACGAGTGGCATGAAAGATGAAACTGAATGACAACAGTGAGTTGACGGGCTTGCACATATTGCAGTAGAAATATTGTTACAGTCCTCGACTCCACGTAGCTAAACTAGTTATTCTCTCCGTTCTAAATTATAAGTCGCTTTAACTTTTTTATATATATGTATTTTACTACGCATATAAATATAATAATACTCACTCCGTCCACAAAAGAATATAATTATGGGATTTATGCCGGTCAACTTTTTTCAATTTTGACCAAGTTTATAGTAAATAATATTAGCATTTATGTCTTTAAATAAATTCATGATGAAAATATATTCTATAATTAATCTAATGATATTTATTTTGTATAAAAAAAATTTGTCGGTGCAAAAAGTGACCAACACGTAAATATTTGTAGTTTTGCCGTACATTGTGATCGGAGGTGGCCTAGCACTCAATGACACAGGGTTTATACTGGTTCAGACAGCTTGCCCTACGTCCAGTTTGAGTCGGTCGGTGACTTTATTCCTGAGCCCAGGTGCTCAAAGTCTGCAGTGGGGTTACAAACGAAAAAGAAGAAAGATGAGGTGTACAAGAGGTCCGGTCGGCTCCGGTCGGAAGGGCTGTGAGCGACAGGAGCTCCGCTATGAACTAAGTGTTTAAGCGTGTGCCCGAGGTCCGAACCTAGCGGTTCTGTGGTTGCGAGCTAGTGAACTTGGTCGATCTAATGAATCTAAAGAGACTGAGCTTGAATCAACCTGGTTTAACTTGGTTTATTGGGAGAGAGCGCATCTCCTTTTATAGATGAAGGGGATAGCTATACAAGTGAGAGAAAGAGACTACGAATGCTTCTAAGCCTTGTTACCCACGCCGACGGGTACAGCATGATGGTAGGCGCCCACAACACTGTTGGATGTCAGATGCACATGGAAGGTTCCGTCGTCTTGTTTGGGTATGGCAAATGTTGGTACCTGCATATACTGTTGATGCCCAGAGGCATGTGAGGAGTTTCACCATGTGCACTCGGTACGGTAAATTCCGACGCCCACAACACTGTCGATGCTCAGAGGCACGCGGGGAGAGCCTTACCGTATGGGAGTTTAATGGTGCCCCACAATACTGTAGGGGAAATGTAGGCGCCTACAACACTGTTTGTGTTAGGGCAGTTGCAGAGTACTGTTCCATGCAGGGTATGGTACCTGGTACCGTGGTTTGACTTGTGCGCTTTGCCTTGCTTTTCTTCGCACGTCTCCTGGTCCCTACTGAGCGGGCGTCCCCGATCGGTTGATCCCAGTTGCTCTGATCGTGTCAGTTAGAGAAGAGCGGTGAGTAAGGGCTGGGCGTATCCTCGGTCGGAGAGTGCGGGGTCGGAGTTGGAAGCGGTGCTTTTGGCCAGGCCTTCCGGTCGAAGAGGCCGTCCGGAGATGGGCTGGCGACCGAATCGAGCGCTCCGGTCGGAGAGATGGGTCGGAGTCAGAAAACGGACGTTGTTCCTCTTCGGCCTGACCTTCCGGTCAGAGATTGGATCACTCCTCCAGCTTGTCGCTCAGGTATTTGGGCCGGCCCATGAGTTGCGTGCTGTCTGCTTGGGCCGAGCCTTTGCGTTGAAGCTGGTCCCCGGGGGACTCTGGGTTTATGAATCCGACAGGAGCCCCCGAGCCCCCGAGCCCCCGAGTGATTCGGGTAGAATCAACCGGGGGATTTTTGTCTTGACGGCGGGTGCGCGCGAGCGCACCCGCGGGTGTAGCCCCCGAGCGGTTCAGGCAGAACCGTCTAGGGGGTTTTCTGTGTTGTCAGCGGGGGAGGTTTTCATTTTGTCGGTGGGTGCACACGAGCGCACCCGCGGGTGTAGCCCCTGAGCCCCCGGGTGGTTCGGGCAAAACCGTCTGGGGGCTTTTTGTCTAGCGGGCGTGTGTGCGTGTTTTTAGTTGAGACGGAGTTTGTCAACCAAGACGTCGTTGTGCAGCCGAGGCGGTTAGGCATAGGGATCGGATGAGACGGAGCTCGCGGATCCTGGAGTCGGTGCGTGCCGTGGGATCGAGCGAGGCTGTTAGTTCATTAGTTTTGGGATCAGGCAAGGCGAAAAGGCGGTGCTTACGGATCCTGGCCTCGGTGCAGCCCGTGCAGCCGAGGCAGTTAGTTTGTTAGTTTAGGGATCAGGCGAGGCGACAAAGCGGTGCTCACGGATCCTGATGGGGCGAGATCGGGGGCGCAGACCCAAGTTGTTTTTGGAGCGCAGTCGAAGCGTAGCCGGATGGGGCGAGATCGGGATCGCAGACCCAGGTTTTTGGAGCGCAGTCGGAAGGGGCGAGTTCGAGGTCGCAGACCCAGGTTGTTTTTGGAGCGCAGTCGGAGCGTAGCTGGATGGGGTGAGATCGGTGTCGTAGACCTAGGTGTTTGGAGCGCAGTCGGAAGGGGCGAGTTCGGGGTCGCAGACCCAGGCTTTTTGTGTCTTGAGCCCCCGAGCCTTGTTGGGCCTTAGTAGGGGTCGGTGTGAGTTGTGTGCGTTACCCCATCCTTGGTTCCTCACAACCGGAGGGGGTGAGTTTTGTCGCTTGTCCCGATCGCTCGGGCTAGAGTGACGCGCTCGGTGAGTTCGCTAACGGGTATGATCGAGCAGAATCTGAGTCCATCGTTCGTGACGGGGTTGGCATAGCCCTCTTGTGACATTCCACTGCTCCTTTACATACAACTCGGCAGATGCCTGGGTCATTCTGGAGACCGACCTGGGTGGCCTAACGGCCTTCCCTCGATGGAGATTCTGTGGGCTTGGCAAGAGGTTCAGGATCGAATGAGAAGGTTGAGATGACCCTGTCTGCCAGAATGGGCGAGGGCCGCATGGGGCTCATCTACGTTTTTCTCCCATAGCTTTGTTGGTTGCTCATGACGAATGAGGCAACCAGCGCTTCATGACGCAACACGAAGCATTGTGTTGCATTTCGCTGCACATGCGATGCTTAGTTCCCGAGCCCCCGGGCGGTTCAGGGCCTGAATCGTCTAGGATGCACGGGCGTATGGAATGAATGCGTGTATGGATGTATGAAATAATTATAAAGAAATAGAGGGGGTTGGTAGTTTCTACCTTGATGACTCGAGTGACGGGGTTTGGAGAGCTCTAGTTGGAAATGTCCAACCGGGACCCATGCTCGTCATTCATGACGGAGTCGGCATGGCCTATATGGGGCGTCCCTTTGCTCCTTATCTATCTCTCGGTGTTTATCCTGAGCGATTCGATCGACTCAGGGGGGCCGATGGTCTCTCCCGGTGAAGATCCCATTTTTGGGTTTTTCCAGGTCTGTCCTGGGGAAGCGGAGAGCCGCCCGCATGCGGTGGCACTTTGGTTCTTGTGCCCGACGTGCGGTAGTGGTTGGTCGTGCGGTACTGGTGGGCCATGCCCAGGCCACGTCCCGCTCGATCAGGAGTCGTTCCGTCGGGCAGGGCACGTCTCATCGGTCAGGGCGTGTCTTATCGGTCAGGGCGCGTCTCATCTGCATTAAATAGGAAAGAGAGAGAGTTTTTCGCTCCACCGTTTTGCCTTCCCCGATCGGCGCGCCCTTCCCTAACTGTTGTTCCCTTTTCCTTAAGTAGGAGAAGGGAGAGGGTGTTCGCCCCGTTCTTTTGCCTGTTCCTCATCTACCGCCTCCTTTCCTCTTCCTTCTTACCGTGAGCATTCCTGAGAGCCACGGTGGTTTCTAGGAAAGAAAGGGGAGAGAGCAAGGGAGAAGAGAAGAACTCACCAATCCTTTTGTGATTCCGGAGCGAAATGTCGAACTAGAGGTCGTCCACCGTGAGGGAGTCGGTGTTGAAGGCCTTCGTTGTGAAGGGGTTCCTATCGCCAAAGGAGGTGGCGCACTAGAGGGTTCCCGGGAGGGAGGACTTCCTACAACCTCGGGCTGGTGAGGTGGTGTCCTTTCTTACCTCCATGAGCGCGGGTTAGGGTACCCCGCGCACTGGTTCCTGCGTGGGCTCCTCAATGAGTGGGGCCTAGAGCTGCAGCACCTTAATCCAACTAGGGTGCTGCACATCACCGGCTTCGTCATCGTCTGAGAGGCTTTCCTTGGGATGGAGCCGCACGTGGATTTCTTTCGGCGACTATTCTCTAGGAGAGCCTTGACGGTGGGGAATCCAGACGAGATCGCGCTGGTGGGGGGTTTCGCCCTACAGAGGAAACCAAGCGCGGGAGGCTCGTATCCCGCGTACCTTCCCTGGGACTCCAACCCAGGGTGGCATGGGGAGTGGTTTATATTAGGAATCCAACGGAGGTGCCGTTCCTAGCGTTCACCGATGAGAGGCCAGAGAAGCAGGAAAGTTGGCCATGGGGTTGCGCCCGTAAGGAGAGGAAGAAGGTGGAGGTCATCGAGGAGGAGCTCCAGAAGCTTGTGCAGCACGGTCTTGACGGGGTGCGGTTGTTCCACACCGTCTACCGCCACCGGGTTGCGCCGTTGGCGAAGAGGACGTGGCCGATGTGGATGTTCAGCGGCCCGTCGGACCCAGACCGCGCGTCACCGGAGGATCTGCCGGACGATGAAGTCTGGAGTCGCCTTGGCCAGGTGTTGCAGCTGAAG